AAATCCGCGGGCGGAATCGGTCCGCGGGGCCACCCACATCCTCCCCCCGGATCCGGCGAGAACAGCCCCCCTCGTCGCTGTCGCCGTCGGGGATCGACCACCGTCGTGCCTGCCTCCTCGTCGCCGCCCGGGATCAACCATCGCGTCCGCCACCAGTTAGTGCGTTTTGTTGTGATTTTTGCAATCTAGGTTTAGTTAATTTGACGCGCCGGTGCGTATGTAGATGGAGTTAAGCCCGTGCGAGAAGTACTTGCTCTCCGATTCGTCCGATTCGGACGACTTGGATGTTAAGACCATGCTTGCGAAATTTTGGCAGCAAACGTTGGTCATGGCACTTGTCGTGAAGGAGCACGAAGACGAGAACCGGAAGACGAGGCGAGGATCGACCGTCGGGCGTCTTTGCATTCCCCGGAATCGTCATCTTGGGAACGAGATGTTGATGCAAGACTACTTCGCGGAGAATCAAATGTATCCACCGCACCTCTTTCGGAGAAGGTACCGAATGCGCCGATCCCTCTTTGTCAAAATTGTTCAAGCTTGATCATCCGTGTCTTTGGTCCTGAGTATCTTCGGGCACCCAACGAAGATGACACAAAGAAATTGATGGCAACTAATGAAAGAAGAGGTTGGCCTGGCATATGCTAGGTAGCATTGATTGTATGCATTGGACTTGGAAAAATTGCCCCAAGGCATGGCAAGGAATGTATTGTGGCAAGTCTCGTGATGCAACAATTGTGCTTGAGGCCGTAGCATCCGAGGATTTATGGATTTGGCATTGTTTTTTTGGTATGCCAGGCACTCTCAATGATATCAATGTGTTGTAACGGTCCTATTTGTTTACTAGGCTTGCTAGTGATGATGCTCCTGCTTGCAATTATACTATTAATGGGCATGAATACACAAAGGTGTACTATCTTGCAGATGGTATATACCCTCCTTGGTGCACATTTGTCAAAAGCATCAAAGAACCAAAACTAAAAAGCAATGTGAATTTGCAAGGGTGCAAGAGGCAGCCTGAAAAGACATTGAAAGAGCATTCGATGTTTTGCAATCTAGATTTGTCATTGTCCGTGGTCCTACTCGTTTTTGGCATAAGAAAACCTTGAAAAATATTATGACATGTTGTGTTATTCTACACAATATGATTCTTAAAGATGAGAGAGGAATGAACTTGGAATTCTTCTATGACAATGTGGGTAGTCTTGTCAAACCAGCTAGAGACCCTAACCGCATTAGAGCTTTTCTTCAAACATACAAGGCGATTGAAAATGCAAACACCCACTTTCAATTTCAGGAGGATCTCATTGAGCATCATTGGCAAAGGGCTGTTGACTCATTTTTTTATTCATGACAAGTTTTGTATTGCATTATTTAAGTTTGCTACGGTGATTTGAATAATTATTTGTAACGTGGATGATTATTGTATTATGTTTGATTTGAATAATTTAGTTTTGCTTTTGATTTTTGTATTATGTTGGATTTGATATTTGCAGGCCGATGAGATGCGGGATGCAGCAGCGTAAAGAGCAGACCCCGCATAGCCGACCTGTAAAAAAACATGAATATGCTTTTTTACGGGTTCGTTTGAGGGGTCTGCATCTGTGGCCGTTCAAACCGGCCCGCAAAAATAGTTTTGTGCGAACTGCAAACGTGTTTTGCGGGACGACAGGATGTGGGATCTGCTAGAGTTGCTCTAAACGATTGAAAGTGTTGGATCCCTACATGCAACAGAGTACGGAATCGAGGCACTCTCAAAATTTTTCTCTAAACCCGTTGAGTGAGTAGGGGCCAATTCTTTTAGGTAGCTTAAAAAATAAGCTGCCACTCCTCAGCTTAAAAAATAAATTACCCTTAAAATTTGTTGACACTTCTATATTAATAATCTCGTAACAAGTTTAGAAGTCCCAATGAACTAGAAAGACAACTTATGAAAGAAGCTAGGGAAGAGATGGCTTATTTTTTAGGGAAATGATTGAGATCACCCGATGGATGATCACGGGTGTGTCCACCGCCTTTAATCAGATGGCTAGAAGCGACGTATTGTCTAGACTAGTTTTTGCAACTGAGTGGTTGTTACAATCTCTTCCACCGCAACAACTGATATGTTGCAGGATATGGATCTGAATCCCCACCAGAGCAGCCACCACTCGTGCTCCTCCCAAGCTCCCCACTAAACCAACTCCTTGCACTACTTCGACCGCCGCCATCGCCGCTCTCCACCGGCAGCACGCCGACAAGGTCTCCGGCGTGGGCGCCGCCGCTACCGCCCACCTTCACCATGAGTGGGGAGCACCGGCGTCTGTGTCCATCGCGGGGAGCTGTGTACACCGTCGCCCCACCGTCCCGACGGAGCACCAGCCTTTATTTCAATCAACGTGGTTGCTGCTTGCTGTCCGCTACAGCGAGTTTCTGCAACAAGGTCTTTGTCGCAGAAAAAAAATTGTAATAAACCCTACTGCAAAAAAATACAACAAGACCTCAGTTGCAATTTTTTTAATTGCAACAAGACCTCCGCTACAAAAAACAAGACCTCTGTTATAAAAAAAACCGTAACAAGACATCTGTTGCAAAAATAATCTGCAATTTCACATATGTTACAAAAATTTCCGCAACATAAGCCATGTTACAGAAAATTTTCGCAACACGACATGTGTTGCAATGGTGGAAGATGACCCCCGGCTGCTCAATCGTCAGATCGGATGGCTCGCCAGGCGGCGAATCTTTTAAAAAGATATGCCAGCCCACGCATAGCAGTGTCCTATTTTTTAAGCGGCCAAAAGTTGGCCCTAGGTTTGATGGATTATTCCCCTGTTTCACCAAACAAATGGATGGTTGTAAGATTAACAAAAGTTTATATACCTCTAGCAAGATCACATCATACTAGTATTGTACTCCCTCCGTTCCTTAATATAGGATGTATAGTTTTTGGCACGGAAATTAAAAAACGCATGTGGAAGAAAAATTTCACAAGTTTTGGGCAAAAATACACCTGACTAATTAACATGAGAAAATAGAGGAGCTTTCCTAATATAAGAAAAAGTAATCAAATCCCTAAAAACATGATCCAGACGAGTGGTGCATCGCAAAACACCTTATATTTTGAAATTTTTTCTTAAAAATCTATATACCTTATATCAAGGAACGGAAGGAGTATTTACAGGAAGCGAGAGAGGAGTAGGACTCTCGGATCTAAATTTCATCGTGTAGATTCTATAGGATTACTATTTTTTTGTGCGGGAATATAGCATTTTACTCTACGTATATACTCCCAGTAAGTTGTCCCGTTCTGCATAATAGGTCAGTGTATGTGCAGCTGTACACTGCACGTAATATACTCCCTCCGTCTCAAAATTCTTGTCTTAGATTTGTCTAGACACAGATGTATCTAATACTAAAACGTGACTTGATACATCCGTATCTAGACAAATCTAAGACAAAAATTATGAGACGAAGGGAGTAGTTTACATTAACAAAGTGAGACGAGGTAGACTGACCGTGTCGATGTGTTAGTCGGTGACCACGACACTCCCCGATTGATAATTACCGTGTCAAGATCCGACGGAAATAAGCTACTGCGCCGCACAACAGGACCCCGTCCCCATGCCATGATTGGTTAACCCAATTATTCTTTTTTGGATTAGATTGAATTGCTTATCACATATGTCACGTTGTAAGCTAATCAGTTTTGCTAAGTCTTAATCGACATAAACTTAGTTATGTCTCAGTCGATGTTATATTCGTAAAATCATACATCAAGATCCGTGTAAAATTTTCTTTACATATTTTTTATTTTATTTTTTAATAATATGTCATTTAAAATTGATTAAATCTCAGTCGACCGAGACCTCCCCCACCCAATATCACCAACATGTTACATACATACAAGCCCACCGACTAATGCAACGATCGGCTACAACACCTACCCCCCTTCCCGTTAACGTTCCCGCGCTGTCTATTTATAACCGCGCTCCGGGCATGTAAGCAGAGCAGTGCCAGTGTCTGCTTGTCCCCCTTCGATCTATTAGATCGCCTTCTTCCTCCATCGTAAGTGCACTGCCGGTATCTAGAATTCTAGACCGAGCACTCAAGACATCAACAACAAAACCATATATACATCGATCATATATATACTTGGTAAAGAAAGAGTAAGCTACCTTTTGCTAGCTAGCCGGTGATCATGGAGGTGAAGGTGCTGAGCTCCAAGATCGTCAAGCCACGGTACGCCGAGGGCGCGCCGCGGCCGGACACCACTGAGCACGTCCCGTCCTCGGTGTTCGACAAGATCACGTACCACATCCAGATGGCCATCATCTATGCCTTCCAGGCGCCGGCGCCCTCCACTGAGGACATCGAGCGCGGCCTCGCCCAAGTGCTGTCCGTCTATCGCCTCTTCGCTGGTCAGGTCTGCGCGGGCCCGGATGGCGCGCTGGGCGTGCTGCTCAACGATCACGGCGCGCGGCTCGTGAGGCGCGCGTGGACGGGGCCACGCTGGTCGACTTCGCGCCGCCCAAGCCCTCGCCTGTGGTGTTGCAGCTGCACCCGGACCTGGAGGGCGACGTGGAGGAGGTGGTGCAGGTGCAGCTGACGCGCTTCGCCTGCGGCTCGCTGGCCGTCGGGTTCTCGGCCAACCATGCCGTCGCTGATGGCCATGCCACCAGCGACTTCCTCGTCGCGTGGGGCCGCGCCACGCGAGGGCTGGACATCTCCGCCCCGTCGCCGCCGCCCCACAACCACCCCGACCTCTTCCCGCCCCGCGACCCGCCGATCGTCGAGTTTGAGCATCGGGGCGTCGAGTACTATCGGCCGACGCCCAGCAACCCCAAGCAGGGCGAGAGTGGGCACCACGGCGCCGACAACGTGATCATCCACAAGGCGCACTTCACCAAGGACTTCATCGCCGGGCTGCGCGCCAAGGCGTCGGAGGGGCGCGGCAGGCCGTTCAGCCGCTTCGAGACCACGCTCGCACACCTGTGGCGCACTATGACGCGCGCGCGTGGGCTCAGCCCCGAGGAGACCTCCACCATCCGCATCTCCGTGGACGGGCGGCGGCGCCTTTCCGCCCCACCGGGGTACTTCGGCAACCTGGTGCTCTGGGCATTCCCGCGCACCACGGTGGGGGACCTGCTGAGCCGGCCGCTGAAGCACGCGGCGCAGACGATCCACGACGCGGTGGCCCGCCTCGACGGCGCATACTTCCAGTCGCTGGTGGACTTCGCGAGCTCCGGCGCCGTGGAACGGGAGGGGCTGGAGAAGACGGCGGTGCTGAAGGACGTGCTGTGCCCGGACCTGGAGGTGGACAGCTGGCTGACGTTCCCGTTCTACGAGCTGGACTTCGGCGCCGGCAGCCCGAGCTACTTCATGCCGTCCTACTTCCCCACGGAGGGGATGCTGTTTCTGGTGCCGTCCTACCTCGGCGACGGCAGTGTCGATGCCTTCGTCCCCGTCTTTGAGCACAACCTGGAGGCCTTCAAGCAGTGCTGCTACTCCATGGACTAAAGATCAGCTAATCATCAAGCAGCAAGCCAGCGTGCGGCTACATATTACTGTATTATTGAGTGATTAAATCAGCGATTTGAGCTTAATCATCTCGCTTGCAATTGCGTGCGTGCGTGCATGCATGCATGTAATTATTATCTCTGCTTACCTCCGTGTATCTATCGTATCACGTGTATATGTATTTGATTATTTTTAGGGAAGTATATATGTATTTGATGTACATGCATTTGTTGTTATTCGTAATGCACGGTATATATGTTATGTACTTTTGCTTCGTCCTGTGCTGTGTTTTGGTTGCTGTTTCTTTTCCATTTGTGATTGATTTGACATGATTGATCACCCCCCTCGATCATGGACGGATTTTCCGTTCTTTTCTGTACTGTCCTATGTTGCTTCTGTTGTCGCGTACTGTAGCCTAGCCATGGTAATCAAATGTCGTGTTAGATGTCCAAAATGATCGACCTTTTTGCTTTGCAGTGGGTACGGAACAAGACATCACGGTCCACTTTTCTTGTGTTTTCTTGCATGAGATGGAACAGAGGATCGTCTGAATTCTCGGGACGATGATAGCATTTTCTATTTTCTCCTTGTCCAATCAATTTAAAAAGGCTCTGAATGCTCCTAGGTTTGTTCCCATTGGGAATTCTCTGGCTGTGGCATCTGATATGCGAACCCCTGTGATTATGAGCAACAAGTAGGAGAAAGTACGCGCAGCCGAATCACAACCAAAATCTTGTGGAAATTGATCGTGTTTGGAAGTTTCCAAAAATTCTCAAAGGAAAAACATTGCATGCTAGTGCTGTTTTGTAGACATGTGGAATTAAAAGTTCAAACTCATAAGTATTCATTTGGAAGACAAGAAAAAAAATCGTGCATGAGAAGTGATGTTGTTTTGCTCATCACTATCCATTCTTATTTTGGTTTTTCAAACCTCCTGAACTAATTTAGTTTGACCTAGAAAATTTGCATGTTCGTTAAACATCTTGTATTTTTTAGATTTTTCTAGAAACCTTGAAACATAGTTTCTTCTCGTTTTCAACGGTTTCTATGTATACTTGATTCCCATTGGATATTTTCTCACTAAGTATCGCGGCTAGCGCGTTTATCCAGAGTCAAGGAATTCAAGACATTAATCAATCAATCAAATCGCTGCACCGTTGCAAATCCCCCACGCTCTTGTTGAAATTGGATATCGCCAGCGCGTTCGATTCAATATCATGGCCATTCTTGATTCAAGTTTTGTAGAAAATACGTTTCAGGCCTTGTTGGTGTTCATGGCTTGTTTTATGCTTATCTTCGGCCAATACCAAGGTATTAATGGTCATTCGGATCCAATAATAGGGCTTGCTAGATGGCCGAGGAGGGGGCCCCCTCTCCCCTTCTCTTCCTCTTGATTATGGATGTGCTCAGCTCCATTGTGTCAAAGGCCGAGGAGTCCGGGGTCTTTGCGAGCCTTGCTCGCTAGGGAGTGAATCACGGTTTATCCTTTTCCGCGGACGATGGAACACTCTTTATCGAACTAGTAAAGGAGGAATTGTTCGTGCATCACAAACTTCTAAAGTTGTTTGGCCAGAGTTCTGGACTCAAAGCAAATATGGATAAAACCTCTCTCCCTGATTCGATGTAATGAAGTGAACTTACACGCATTGGCGGCCGTCTCTCCCTGTCATGTAAACCCTTTACCTTGCACTTATTTGGGTCTCCCCCTCTCTTGCTCCCCTCTGTCCAATGGGAACTACAACTGCTCATCAACAAGGCTGCAGGAAGGCTTGGCACTTGGCAAACTTCTTTGTTGTATATCAGCGGCAAGGTTGTTCTTATCAAGGCCGCGCTATCTACTATTGTGGTTTATTACATGCTTTCCCTGGACCTGCCCCCATGGCCGTTCAACTGCCTCCCACAAATATCCTTGCTTAAGAATCATACTTATGAGTTGGTGAATTTTCCCAATGGCAAGAAATTATTTGAAGAGCAAGTGGGTCTACAAAGTCAAGCAAGAAGAGCACACATCACATCCATGGTGCAAGGCCATGCTAGTTGTACAAGGATTCGGCCAGAGAAATGCCTTGACTACAATGAGATATTTTCTTTGGTTGTGAACATGACATCCATTAGAGTAATCCTTGGCATGGCAGCAAGTCTCAGCTTGGAGGTTAGGCAAATGGATGTGAAGATGACATTCCTTCTTGGTGAGTTGGAAGAATAAGGATACATGGAGCATCCTGAGGGGTTTCTTGTGAAAGGCAAGGTTTCTTGTGAAAGGCAAACAAGACTATGTGTGCGAGTTAAAGAAAAGTCTATATGGCCTAAAACAGGCACCAAGACAATGGTACATGAAGTTTCAAACTATCATGGGGGAGTAAGGCTACAAGAAGTGTAGATAAGAACATTATGTGTTTATTCAGAGGTTCTCAGTGTTGGAAATATTCCCTAAAGGCAATAATGTTGTATTATTATATTTCCATTTTCATAATTAAGAATTTATGTTTGATGTTATAACTGCTATGATCACAGAATATGTGATTCAGTGGAAAACTCATATACATGTGTGGAATGATAAACGGTAAAGAATAGGTTCCAAATCTTGCATCTAAGACTGGCTCAAGTGTTGTTGGTGATCAAGTTTTCTAGATCTTATGATATCATTAAGTATATGATATATAGTCCTAAAACAACATTGAGAGTACAACATTAGAAAAATGATCATACTGAATCGACCCAAACTTGTTTGTTATACTTTGAGATAATACCGTCTGAAATCAATTGTTATAACACGAGTGTTAACATGTGTTTTAGTTTCTTAGACCATGAGAGTATCACAATCACTTCTTACGAACTTTGGGGTTGCTCAAACGGCATCTGTGAGACTGTAACACAGTGATCATAACAACAACTTACAGGTTCATCAGAAAGTTTCACAAGGGACTAGATAGCTCGAGAGTGGGATTTGCTCCTCCGGTGATGGAGAGATATTTTTAGGGCCCTCACGGTGTGACGGCATCCATCATTGTCTGGCTGGACACAGGTGACTATTTTCACGAGGATGTTAGAACGAGAAAGAAGTACAAAACCGATAACGAGGATAATAGTATAGTGAGCATGTGGATGACTCAAGAGGATACCGACACTCCTCGGTTTTGTAAAGTATCATGAAGCAAAGGGAACATCACATGATAACCAAAGGTTCACTGGAATATCATTTGTGTAATCACAGGAATCTATATGGACGTCCACGGTTCCGGTATCATTCATTGAACAATGGGGTTTCGTTCATGTCTACAGTTTACCGAACTTACATGGTCACAAGCTTATGGTAATCATGATCTGCTGAGTGTTAGTAGAACGATAGTATCTCGGATTAATTTGTGGAATTTTTTCATTAATATTAGAAATAGTTTCAAGAGGAACCAGAAGCATTCTCGTGTCATCGGAAGGATTTCAGAATTTATTGGGCAATACCGAGTATTCCCGATAAATAATATATAGGTGGAAAATATTTCCGGTGATGTTAAATTAATAATAAAAGGCTCTAGTAATTGTTATGAGGCTTTTATATTTAATTTAACTAGCAAAGTGGTCCGCTCGATGCACAGGCTAAAATTTTATAATTTTAATAATATGACCAAATGTTTGGCTCGTCTAAAGAGAAATCGGAAATTATGCATGTTGTACCAATTGTAATTTCTATGATCAGTCTTGTTGCTAAAATTATATTTGTGTAATTTCCCTGGCATTTTTACCATGTCGCATTGTCATATTTTTTATTTGAAAAAATATTTTATAGTTTGATTGTTTTCATGTAGGCATATGTAAATTTGCTAACACGTGCAAGATTGACATATTCTTATTTTAATGATTTTTGTTGTAAGTGATTTATTTTGAACTTGGTCTATGAATTTATAGAGCATTTATATATACTATATATGCATTAAAATGTAATTTTGTGTTAGGTATTAGTTTACATTATCATTTGATTTAGTTGATTTAAGACACGTACAATAAGGATTGATGTTGGCTCATATATGTATCTAAGCAAAGTTTGACATAACTATCTACTCTCTAGAATAAAAACATCGTTCATACTACTTG